GGGGTATTTTTGGTCATTTAGAAAGGTAGAATGAATATTTTTATAAGAAAATAATGGTATTCTATTAGTAGTTAAAAACAATTAATGCATCTTGTGGGTGAACACACCATATCGGTGATGTCATTTTCCACTATTGTTAATAAATGTTTTTGCTAATATTAGAAATTTCTAGTTTACCCTCAACTAATTACTTAAAATACACCTAAACAAAAACTTACTATACTATAGGATAAGGGTATCTAAATGTTTAAAAATGTAGACCATTATATATATATATATATATGGACAATGATTTCACAAGTGTTGTATGGTAGTATGATGCAACAACCTTAAAAAACCATCTTATGGTCATTTGTTTGATCCAAAATTTGAAATATACACTCTTTTCATTCTAATGAACAATCACAAAAAAAGAAAAAATTGAAAATACAACCTAGAAGGTATTTTTTTAGCCCAATTAACATAGGCCGCTCATTTTGGTGAGATGCTTAGATCTTGGCTTTAGAAGGATCTTTTCATTTCTAATTTTTTTGGATGACTTTATTATCATTAGATTGACAATGTTAAAAAATAAAAAAATGATTTTGAGTTTATAAAGGCTAAGATCTTGAAATTTACAAAATGAATGGTCTAGATTCGTTTTTGGAGGGGACTCATTTTGACCATTTCTAGATTTCAAATTGAACTTTTGTTTTTTAGGGGATTGATTATTGAGATGAAGAGAGTGTGCGTGCAAAATTTGAGATCATACAAATACCACAAACATGGTTTTCTAGAAATGTCGTTGCATTATACTATGATACCACCGTTATATTGGATCACCCTCTCACATCCATGTGAGTAGGATCCCAAATGATCACCCTTAAATTTTGACATGGATCTCTAAAAAATCATCAATAAGCCCATTCACCCAAGTCTCACACCGATGTCATAACTTTTTTAGAGATCTGTGTCAAAATTTAATGGTGATCCTTTGGGTCTTACTCACATGGGTGTAGGAGGGTCTCAAATTGTCATATGAACATATGAGCCCAACGGCCCAGATTGAATGTGGGACGATCTGATTATCACAGATGTCCAATAGTTCTTAAATTTTATTTATTTTTCTACATATCCAAATCATTTGAAATTTTAGTTGTGTGTTCTTCTCATCAAGGCATACTTAATAAAGCTATATAAAAAAATTATTCGTGAAAAACTAAATGACTAAAATACCCCCTGAAACATTTCGGGGGTATTTTGGTCAATTTATTTCACATAAAATATTTTTTTGATATTTTTTGAAGATTCACCTATTTTTGATGAATTCACATCTAAAATTTCAAGTTATTTGGATTTGTAGAAAAAAAAACTAAAATTCAAACACTACCAGACATTGGTGATCGTGAGATTGGCCCAGATTCAATATGGGACGTTGGGCTCATATGAACTTTCAAGTGATTTTGATTTGTAGAAAAAAAAACTAAAATTCAAATACTACCACACATCTATAATCGTCAGATTAGCCCAGATTCAATTTGGGATGTTGGGCTCATATGTTCATATGAGTTAGTAGGCTAATCACATTTTTTTCTATATATATATATAATTTTATTAGGCTACACCACTTGGTGGTGTAGACCAAGTGCTCAACATTTTTTGACACTAAAAATACCCTTGAATTGTAATACAAATTTTTTTAAGTAGGGGTATTTTTGGTCATTTAGAAGGGTAGAATGGATATTTTTATAAACTCTATTAGTAGTTAAAAACAATTAATGTATCTTGTGGATGATGTCACACACCATACTGGTGATGTCATTGTCTATTATTGTTAATAAATGCTTTTGTTTCTATTAAAAATTTCTAGTTTACCCTTGACTAATTACTTAAAAGGGAAATGTTTCTATACTTCCCCTAAAACATAGAAGAACTATCCTTCCCCTACCATCCAGCCATCCAATTTTGATCAAGAGAGCTGCTCATTGTTTGATTTTAGATTCGACGTCTCAGAGTATTTTATTTTTAGTTTTTTTTTATACAAATTGTATGAATATGAAATTTGGTATGTGCCATATTCTCATTGGGGCCTACCTATAAAAAATATTAAAAATAATTTTTTGATAAAATATAATGACCAAAATACCCCTTAAAATTTTAGGGGTATTTTGTTCATTTTATTTTATTGAAATTTTTTTTTTTTCTTTTCTTCGCTAGTGCGAATTTAATAGAGGATTGGAAGTCCAAAATTTGGTGTCAAAATAGTTTATAGAAAAAAATTAAAAATAAAATAGTGTAGAGATATGACATTGTGATTGGGGTAATCTTAGCCCTCCATTTACAATGAGTTGGATCAGGGGAAGCATATAAGTTTTATGCTGTAGGGGAAGCATAGAAAGCTTGCCCTACTTAAAATACCTTTAAGCAAAAGTTAGGGTTTCTAAATGTCTAAAAAAGTTGAGCACTTTAAAGGTCTACACCACATGTGGCCAAACAAAACCTATATATATATATATATATATAGTAAGTAAACTTACCACGTCCTATACGACAAATACAACTATGTACTTCGTACCCTACCTACTACTATTTAATT